CAAACGAGCAGTAAATATAGGGAAGGGGTTGGGGGTGTTTGAGCTCATGGGGTTATAATCTAGGTGCTTCAGGAGCTGAGGGGGTAGAAGGTATCTTACAAATAGTTTATAAATACTGTTACTGCTACTGCTACTGTTTCCTGCTCATGTCTCTGACGACGAATCCGCGGCGGATGTCGAAACTACAGGCAAATAAACGTATTGTCCCAGCGATCGAGACGTTTTATTCTCAGTTTACAAATAGCTTATAATTTATATTGAGCTAACATTTTTCTAGAGATGGACTTTATCATTTTGTATATTCTTCAATTGATGAGGCGGGTAAAATGTGACCAAAGAATATGCATTCACTTACCTAGACAGGGTAAAGCCTTGTGAAGACTACGCCGAAGAACTCATAGAAAATCAAGCGATTGGTCCAGCCCCGCCGCCGCCGTTCCTAGTATCTGACGCAGCCGGAGATTTCAGAATGAACACCGGTGCGGACTGGTCCGAATTTTATGCGGCATCGGCACAAGGTAAGACTTTGGTCTCGTGGTATAGGGTCAAGGTCATACTATCAAGGTCTTTGGGCCGACAAACAAAGGTTACCTGAATCAGAAGTCAGGAGTGACAGATAACGATTGAACTGTTCTTCTTTTACTGCGAGAATGTAGTTTCACGAATAACTCTGTAAAATTCGAGCCACCAGCTGTGTCTTAAGGCCAGCTGTTTCAGTCCGTATACACTGTGTCATCAGCCGAAGAAGCCTTAGACCCTGTAAAAACGCGATCTGCGCGCATAAATGTGGGTTAGTGAGCAGCACAGCGACTATATCTGTCGCCACCAGTATCCTCTAAGGCAGGACTATAGAGTGTTTTGTCGGCACTTCATATATGTACCGGAATGCTTGACTGATATGTACCCGGTGCTCGCTGTAAACCAATTGAGCTAACATCGTGCTAGAGATGAGCTTTATCATTTTGTGTATTCTTCAATTGACGACGCTAGAATAATTTGACCTAGGGAATATGCATTCACTTTTTTAGACAATGTAAAGCCTTGTGAAGACTATGCCGGAGAACTTATAGAAAATCAAGCGATTGGTCCAGTCCCGCTGCCGCCGCTCCTCGTATCTGACGCAGCCGGAGATTTCAGCATGAACACCGGTGCGGACTGGTCCACATTTTATGCCGAATCGGCACAAGGTAAGACTTTGGTCTTGTGGTATAGGGTCAAGGTTATATT